TTAAGGAATCCATACAAAATTCTGGAGAAGGTGAGAAAGAAATGGGACTAGGATTAGGGGCTGGGAATGTCAATCTGAAATATATGGTGACAGAAGATGATTTGACTTTGGGTGGTGGGCACATGATGCAATGTATAGACCATGTATTATAGAATTGTTCACTTGAAGCCTATATGATCTTATTAAACAATGTCACCTCAATGAATTTAATGAAAATTATCTGAGCCCAGCTGGGTGTGGCTCAGCAGTTGAGCATCGACCCAGGAACCAAGAGGTCACCGGTTCGATTCCCAGTCAGGGCATATACCTGGGTTGCGGGCTCGATCCCCAGTATGAGGCGTGCAGGAGGCAGCCAATCAATGATTCTCTCTCATCATTGATGTTTCTATCTCTCTTCCTCTCCCTTCCCCTCTGAAATCAATAAAAATATATTTTAAAAAAGAAAACTATCGGAGATGTTTTATTTTTTTAATTTAAAAAGACTTCAAGTGAATTGATAAAGATATTAATCATTTTCAGTTCTTAATGGTAATACAGGAGTGTTTGGTATAATGTTCTCTGTTCTTTTTAAAAAAGTTCTCAAAAGAAAAAACAAAGAGTAACAAAAATAGTGGAAATGAGCACATTCAAATAGGCACTTAATATTTTTAAAGGCCCATCAAAATTGGCCCATTCAAATGCACTTAATCTTAAGGGTCGCTGTGTGTTTGTGAAGTCTATTGAATGAGGATCTTCTCTCCATGCATGGGACTGGGTCTCACACTTCCCCATTTCCCACTGCATACAATGCTCAGCCACAATAAAACACCAGATAAAGGTTTGTGAAATAAAGAATACATAATTGCTTGATTATATTAATAACAAAAGCTGTGATTTATTAATGGCCCACTGTATGACAGAAACTCTAATTATAATTATCCCAGTAATAATATCCCTGCTTGCAGATGAGGAGACTGCTCCACAGAGAGATTAAGATCTGGGCCAAGAGCCATAAAGCTGGCCAGTTGCAGAGCTGCAATCTGAACCGAGTGTGAGCAGCTTGCCACAGAGCAACATGGCTTTCCAACAGCTCCTCGTATATGGCTTGCCTGCACAGTTGATGCTCAAGATATATTTGTTGACTGGGTTCAAAAAATGAAACAAGCTTTGTGCAGTGGCAGTATCATAGCCAATGAGGTTTATCTGAGACTCGATTATTGCTAATTGGAAAAAAGAAACATAAATCAAGTAGTCTCTTTTTCTAGTCACTAACAGGTTTCCCTTAGGGCCCCAAGCCAAGAGCGAGCAGAGGCTGAAACCTGTTTTCTATGCCCACTCTGGGAAATTCGCAAGGAGTCACCTGCTAACCCCAGAACCATCAGCTCTTCGTTCACTCGTTCTATCATGAGTCAGGCACTGGCATGGACACTGAGTTCAATTAAGATGTCCTGCTCTGGCATCTTTTGATCTTAAATGGCGATAGCAAAGAAGGGATACATTCAAAACACAAAAAACGTTAGGTGGGGAGAGAATGGTGTGTTGGGTAAGGACTTGGGCTCTGGCGTCAGATTGTTGCCTGAGTCTATTCTGTTATTCTGGCCGAGGGTAATCTGTTTGGAGCAAGTTCTATAACCTCTGTAAGTCCCAGTTTTCCTCATCTGTATGAAATGGGGAGAGGAGTGCCGATCGCAGAGGGCGGGTGTATGGCTCAAATGCAGCGAACCCTTGGCACGCATCCTTTAATAAGTGTGGGCCGCTATTATTATTATTATTGTTATTGCTGGCTGTGAAGATCAGGTATGTGGTGTTGGGCGCAGCCCGTCGCCCCCCTCGCCTCCCTGGGGCGGCGGTCAGCACCTTCCTTGCGGCTCCCTTGGCCTGCTTTCCCGTGGTCACCCGCAGACTCCTCCACGCCAGGCACCACACCCGGTTCCTGCAGGCAGTCCTGTTTCTTTTCCTCGTCCGCCGTGGGCTCCAAGACCTCGGGGTGCATGTCTATTCCGGAAACACCGAACACCCCGTAGCAATGGACAGCCCCGTTTGGCCGGGTCGCTACGGCCCCAGCTGGACCAGAGAGGTCCGGCTTTCCTTCCCCGCCTGCACTCGCGCCCGCGTCGTTGGCAGCCCAACGCTTCTTTGGTCTCCACGGCAACCGCTGCACATGCGCACTCGGAC